GAATCTAAAAAAAGACATAAATGCATTTATTTACAAAACAGAAACATTCACAGACATAGAAAACAAACTTACAGTTATCAGTGGGGAAAAGGGATCGAAAGAGATAAATTGGGAGGTCAAGATTTGCAGATACTAAGATACTAAGAAACATATAAAATAGATAAATAGCAAGTTTATTATACTATGTAGCACAGGGAACTATATTCAATATCCTGTAGTAACTTATGATGAAAAAGAAAATGAAAACGAATACATGTATGTGCATGTATGACTGAAGCGTTATGCTGTACACCAGAAATTGACACAACGTTGTAAACTGACTATACTTCAGTAAAAAAATGCATATACAAAAAAAAAATCAGTATAGATCCCTTAGGCCATCTCTCTTCCCAGGCAAAAATCATCATTTAAGTGCCCTGCTCAGTGTCATTCAGGGCTACTCTAGCTCTGCACTGCCCTGCACCTGGACAAGTCTGTCAGCGTCTCCAGTCTGCATCTGTCCCTGTCAGAGTCTTCTGAGCCCCACCACATGTGCTGGGTTGTAAAATCCAAGTATCAAAGGAGCTTGCCTGGTTGCCTAGACCTGATGCAGAGTCTGATCTTATTCTGGGCCCCACTCAAAACTGGCAGCTTTTTGGGTTACTTGGTAAAAGCATTGAAGAAGCACATCCAAATGAGGTGTTTGTTGCCTGCAAAATTCGAAAGACTGCTAGGCATTAATTGAGATTCTTGCTTAGTGGTAAGAAAGAGCATCTTGACATAGCCCAGAACACTGGCCCCCTAGGAATTCCACCAAGACCCAGCATTCTTGTGGGATTTATTTCCCACCCTCTGGCATACGTGTGTCTAGATAATTGCAGCTTTCTGCTTCCAGGTCCAGTCAGCACGTGTACTGGAGCAGCATGCTGTCCAGTGGGATGGAGTGGCAGTCAAAGTCTTTGCAGACTAGACTGTGACATAGAGCTAGAGAATTAATGTAACCCTGAAGTATATAGTCTTTACTAGCAGGTCTAGAAAAAGAAAGCATTTGTTAGATAATTATTGCCACCAGGTGCTGGGAGATACTTGATTTGCTCCAGCCATGAAATCACATCTGGAACAACAGCTGGAGTTACCACTTGATTAAATTTATGGTAATAAGTTGTCATTCTCTAAGACCCATCTGTTTTCTGCAGGCCTCCTAGGCAGGTTGAATGGGCATGTGATAGGGATCACCACTCTGCATCTTCCAGGCCCTTGATCGTGGCACTAATTGCTGCCGTGCCTCTAGCAAGCAGTGTTGCCTTTGCTTTACTTGTCTGGTAGGTAGGGGAAGTTCTAGTGTCTTCCACTTGGCCTTCCCTACCTCAGTAGCCCTTACTCCGCAGATCAAGGAACCGACGTGGGGATCCTGCGGATTGCTGCGTATGCCTGTTCCAACTGTGCAGTCTAGAACGAAGGAGATAACAACAGAGCAGGTTCATGGGGTGGGTCTGAGCTGGCATTCCATTTATCACGTGATCTCCTTAAGCCCCTGTTCTTCTGACTGGTATTGAATTGGTAGTGTCAGAGTTAGTGTAAGTTCAGATGATCCATGAAAAGTCTCATTACTTCTCCTTCCCCAGTGGACAGTCATTCTTGATAAATAGTCACAGCTCCCTTTGGGAAAGCTTGAAGGAAGACTGGTGGTGCAAATTTTCGGTTATGTAGCAGGATCCTTCCTCAAGGGAATATGACCTCTTCTTCATTCAGAAGACTTGAGGTCTAGGAATTGGTTAATGTTTGGGAATAGATTGAGGGGCCGTATTGTTCATATGTGGTGACTCAAGTCAGACTTCAGTTCTCTAGAACTAGAGTTTTCCATCTGTTTTATTTCTAAAGACACTATAATCAACCAGCCAACACCAAAGAGCTCTGCAGGTCAGACTATGCCGATGACTGCTCAGGCTGCTGCCCACCGCGTTGACGGCTAGTAAGTGCTGACTCGACTCCTGCCAGTGAAGGATCTCATTTTCTCCTCTGAATTCAGGGAGCTCTTTTTGGCAGCAGTTCTCTGTCAGTCCCGGCCTACAGAGAATAGCCACCACCCAGCTCATCAGGAATGCTGGTGCTCCCTTCACGAGGTATTCTCTTAGCCTTGGTAAAGTGAGTATCTGATAGAGCCTTCTGGGGGCTATAGTAAGGGATGGTGACATCATAAATCATAAATGCACTCCAACATTTCATTCTCCTCAAGCCTTTGGATACCTTCCTCTGTGGTATACTAAGGAAGTTCCGGTATTTCAACTTCATCTAGTGTAATGTATCTTTGGGTTCAGGTTTCATTCAACCAACCAAGCAAACTATTAAAAGCCACTCCAGCCACTTAAGCTAATAAATTGTATCTGAATCTCTGCTTAGTGAGCCCATATGAGTAAGTTTGGCCCTCTCACCCTGATTTAGTATCCTTAGGATCCATTCCCTTAAATATCCCCAGTTTCTGTTGATATAAATTGGCAAAATCATGCAGTTCTGATTATGCAACCTCTTCTCATAACTATTTCGCCCTATCCAGCATAATTACTCTCCTGCTGCTATGATATAACTCTATTATAAAGATTTCTAAACGTTTTTGGTCATGCCTCTTGAGTAAGAAATTTTTGAGCACATGTTCCAATATTTACTTTAAACAGATTTATATATACTATAGTACTATTTATTATAGACATTTTAAAGCACTTACAGAAAAACAAAGCACTTTAAAGGGTGACGTAACAAACCATGACTAGAAGTTTCAGCTGAGGCTTTGTGTAAGGACACTCCTCACCTGCTTTCATTCCAGATTCCTCTCTGGGCCACCACATCTGCACCATCCCCCACCAAGCGCAGATGCCTTCTTTCTCTGGCTCCTCTTCAAGAAGAAAAGGAAGGGAGAGGAAGTTAAAGAGTATATCTGGCTTCTTAAAGAAAAATTTCATTTCAGTATTTTTTATTATTGCTGAAAAGTGAAAATATACAGCAAACTGACTTTTAAAAATTTCCTTTGTAAAGCATTATTATTCCTATCATATTCTGCCTTTGTATTGAATTGTATGCATGTAAGTATCTCTTTTCATGTTTAGGGCTCTCCAAAAAATGTGGAATCCTTCGCGTCCATGCTGAGACATTCTCCTCTTACACAGATGGGACCTGCCAAGGATAAACTAGTCATTGGACACATCTTTCATATTGTGGAGAATGATCTCTATATCGATTTTGGCGGCAAGTTTCATTGTGTATGTAAAAGACCAGAAGTGGATGGAGAGTAAGTAGAATCACTTCCAAGTGCTTTAAGTGTGTGCATAATAGTTGAGATGCCTCAAAATTTACTGGTGATTTTTGAAAAGACGGAAAATACGCTTATTTCTCTTCATAGTGCTAGTTAGTCAAGTTGGGCCAGATTCATGTCTTCTCAAAGCAGTAGGAGCAAGTTTGGGGGAAGATTTGAATGTTCATCCTGATAATAAACCATTCCACACCGTAAAATTAAAAGCAGCTATATGTGCTGCTCAGGCCATTTTACACGTAACTTCCTGCCTCTTCCTCTGTCCACAGTCTCTTTCTACTTCCCAGGGAAGCCTCTGCTTTCTACTTCTTTGTGCTCCTTTTTCTTACTCTACCAGAATCTGATGCTTCAGCATTTTTTTTTACTTACTATTGTACATCTGTTCTCAGGATTATGATTTTTCCCATTGTATGAACAGAATTCATTCTGTTTATAATCTGTGTCAAGATATTTGTGAATATGAATACACATTGTGTAAACCACTAAGATGGGAGACCTGGAAGGAGAATATAGAGTGAAAAGAGATGTGGAACTAAGATTCTGAGATTGGAAAACAACAGTAAGCAAGATAGAAATGAATTTTTTCCATCAATTTTTAATGTGCTTTTTTTTTAATTTTACCGTTTCTGACAACCAGGATACGTCTTGTAGTTGATACAATCTAATTGGCATGTAAAAATTCCTAATAGTACTTATGATGACTCTAGTAATCAGTGGCATCTTAGGATGAATTAGTGATCAAGAAGTTTGTGATGTTTCAGAATGAGTCAGACTGTAAAAATGAATAGAGTTTACTCTAACTCTAAGGGAGCAGTTATGAGAATGGGTTGCCTCTGTCTAGAGAGCTCTGACTATCTAAAGGTCTGTTTGATACCAGGGCTCACTCAGTCAGGAGAAGGAGCTTCTACCTGAATCTGAATAGAACCTGACAAAATGAACAGAATACACATTTCCTTAGATCTGTGATGTTTGAGTAGATATTGAACAGCTGGCTCTCCAATAAATAAAAGGCCCCGATTGGATGTAAAATACTCCTGCCGTGGCCACTTTTACGTTACCAGTGTGATGTCACTGAACGCGGAATTGGGAATACATGTGCACAGTCACTCTCACAGGCTGGTGCAGCCCTGCTCCAGCACACCTCTCCTCAGGTAATCAGAAGCTACACAGTGTCTTCGCAAGGTGAGTGGTGTAAACTGGGTGATACCTGGAATAGAAACTGGGTTCTGTGCTATGTGGCATGAGAGGTAGTGGCTCAGTCTTGACTTGCTCTGGTATGTCAAGTAACACACAGGTTGGGTCCAAAATGGTAAGACCTAAAGAAATTTCTAAGTAACTTGTGTCCATTCATCCAGATTTTAATACTATAATCTGTATCTATTGTGTAATGGGTTGTTGAAAGGGTTAAGTTAGACAATGTCTGTAAAGATGGACAGTGATTAGTATATAGTTAAACAGATGTTACTATACTGTTATTATTCCTTAAATCCCGGTGGTTTAGGGGTTTTGTGACATCATGATGACACCCATCAAGAATTCCTACTGAGGAGGGTTTATAGACCATGCAGGTATGGAGATATGTGCTGCAGTAACACGACTGTAATTAACAAGGCAGGGATTCAAACCTAGGGCTGCGTGTATCCATCACCCAGGGATGTTCTTTCACTCTACGGTGCTTCTCTCTAAATCCTACAACATGCAGCTACTAAAGTGTCACATAAACCTCCTAAAATAGTCTCACACATGAACCAGGTTTAAAATAGGGACCCTGAAAGCAGCGTGGTAGTGAGGCTCTGTAAAGGTCTGTTAAAGCCTGGTAGGTAGCCTGTTCTAGTATCCTAGGTTATGGTGTCGATGGTACAGTGTGTTTGGATACCGTTGCCATCAGTAAGCTGATGACCAGTGGGTCCAGGCTTTGTTTCAGGATGGACGTGAATCATAATTGTGGTGAGACGTGAAGTCCCAGGAACCGGTTAACGTCTGATGATGGTTAGTAGCTTAGAGTCAGCATGCCTTCTGTTATTTGGGAATGATATATTTCAAAAAAATTTATCTGGCAAATAATGGAAAGTTGACTCTTTACACATGTGACATTTAATTTGTAATTGATTCTTTTTATAGACATGTCATCTACTTTCTCGAACCGTGTTAGACCTTAAGTTGTTTAACCTGTTTTTTGCCTTTGTTTTGATGACCCAATGTCATAATTATACACATTAATTCCTGTATTGTGTCACAACGCAAATGTACAGACGTATTGTTCCTCAACCACATAAGCTTCCAGTTCTGTCATTTTTTGTGTCTTACTTTGTGGTGTCATCTTTTTCTACTGTTGTATCTGTGACTGCATTTTTAGCTTTTTCAGACTTACCAATTTTCTTCTTCTAATATTCTGATGCCTGGGAAATTGGTCACCAAATTTGTTGTGCTTAAAGCGAGAACAATTAGAGTCTGAGTCAGGACCTCGCAGCCTCTTCTGTAAGTAAATTGTATGTACTTCAGTACATGAACTTCAACATGCATTTTGACAGCAACTCCTCTGCTTAATTTTAATTCTCTTTGGGTTCTGTGGAGACTTGATGTCACCAGATAACTAGCTTCCTGATAAGTGAAGTGTAACCAGCTCGAGGTCTTGCCCGTGCTGACTGCCTTCACTGATGCCCTTGATAGGGATTGTCACAAATCAGAAAAGTGTGTGTTGAACCAGTCAAGGTGCTGAGTGTCTTGGACAAGAACAGTTGTTGTGGGTGAGACTTCAGCACCTCCAGTAGGAACAGTAGCGAAAACAAGGTGGAATTATTGAGTCTCAAGTACTATTTGAGATTCTACAGTGAATTTGTAAGTAAATGAGTAAATTTCTTGAGAACATTGTTAAGCCCAAAGTCTTGCTTTATGCATTGATTAGGTTGGCTGGCTTGGAGTGTACCTATAGTGACATTTTCTCGATTTCAAGAACTAAGCTGCTGATGTTATTTAATTTTATTTTTAAATAAACTGGGCCATGGTACAGTTTTTCACTGAGTCAGCAGGCATTTAACGAGCAGCTATTATTTACTGTTTATTGTGTTCTGCAGGAATGGAGGAGAAGAGGGGATTGATAATGGGGTCAGCTTGTGTCAGAGATGGTTACCCAGAGGAACTAATGAGTGAACTGAGTTGTAAAGGAAGGGTAGGAGATACCAAGTGCAGAAGATGAGAGGGAGCTAAACTTATAAAAGTTTTCAGTGAGAGAGAGCCTGGCCCTTCCAGGAATTCAAGTGGCTTAGTTCACTTAAGTTTAGGAGAAGTTGGAGGGGAGAGTAGAGGGATGGGCAGGACCCAGGTCTTCAAGGGATTTATACACCATTCTAAAAAATTGGGGCTTTATTCTGAAAGTGGTAAAGACACATTAAAATATTTTAACAGGTAACATGGACCTCACTTGTGTTTCAGTGAGATCATTCTGGCAATAGTGTAGTGTAGTGTATAGCATTAGAAGAATGTAACTAGAGCTAGGGAGGCCAATAAGGAAGCTTCTGGAAAGAAATTGTAAGAATGTGAGTTAAGTCTGAGGGTCAGGAAAGGAGAATTTCATTAGTAATTTAGGAGATAGAAGAAACAGGTCTTGGTGACTGAGTAATTGAGCGTTGTGTGTCAGAGGGAAAAGTTTCTGATGGTGTTTGATTTCAGACCTGAATGACTAGGTAGATAATAAGTTGGGTTGGGGAGGTGGAGAAAGGGAATGTATTATGTTGATATTTTTGCCTGCTTCAAAAATAAAAATTAAAATGCCCAGATTTAGATCTGTTTGATTCTCCCATTTTCACTCCTGGTTATACTACTTCTTGTTAGTATCAGTTAAGGAACATTTTTCTTTTTACTGAAATATAAAACCCTTGTGGTTAAACCATGTTTATCTTTTTGGTTAAAGAGCCTTATTCTCTAACTTTTTATTTCATTAAGTTATATTTTAATTTTGATTTTTTGAGAGTTGTATACCTTTCTGTAAAATCCTAAAGTTCAGTTTTACAAGTAACGTCCATTGATTTACTAATGTTTTGTGAAGATTGTGTCTCTTAAAGCATTATTCCTACACTCACATCTCTCTCACAGCACACATGACTGACAGCTCTGAAAATCAAAACAAGCATGATTGGCAGTTCTAAGGTAACTAGCACGTACACTGAATATTATTTGTACTTTTGTTTGACACTGAGGTGGAATAAACAAGCTAATTGCCCAGTCTTTGTTTCTATTTCAGGTTGTGGGATATATAGGGTCACATAAAGGGTGGGATGGATACTGAATGTTTCAAAAAAAAACCTGAAGTTTTCAAGGTATATTGGTGGAGGAAAAGAGAAAATGAGAATTTGAATTAAGTAGTTCTTTTTATTCCAGAGGACATGGTTCACAATTTAAAAGTATGCATATTTTTAAATAGATTGGTGGTTGAAAATCATTCTATTAGATTTTCCTTATCAAATCTCTGATTATTTTTTAGGATAAAAGAGTATCTGCTATATATAATTTTTAAATAAAAAACCTTAAGAATACATATAAATTATAAAATATCTCAGAAATGATCTGAGTTCATGAAACACATATAATTCAGACTTCGAATAACATCAGACTTAAAAAAACGTTCATAGATACAGAGAACAGATTGGTGGTTGCCAAAGGTGAGGGTAGGGGTGTGGTGAAATGGGTAAAGGTGGTCAAAAGGTACACATTTCCAGTTATAATGTAAATCAGTCATGGAGATATACTGTATAGCATGGTTACTATAGTTAATAATACTAAGTTGCATATTTGGAAGTTGCTAAGAGTAGATATTAAACGTTCTCATCACAGGAAAAAAATTCCTTTTGTACCTATTTATGGTGATGGATGTTAACTGGACTTACGGAAATCATTTCACGATATATACAAATATTGAATCATTACATTGTCCCCCTGAAACTAATATAATGTCATATGTCAATTATCCCTTAATAAAATTT